TCATGAAATAAAACATGGAGGACACTATGAAAATTCGCCCTGCGGCTCCATCACATTTCAAGTCAGATGCTTGGATGCATTTTGGCTTTAAAAACAAAGAAGGTAAAAATAAAATTGATATGATGCACGTCATTTGCAAAAGGGGAAATATACATCTGAATGTTTTCGTTTCATTGGTTTAAAGGACCACTGAGGCCATATAAACGGCTCTGATTATCCTTATTTTGTTATTTTCAGTTTGATGAATCCTAAGATCTTTTTGTCAGTGTGTCCACGCCAGTAATAGTAATATTTTTGTCCAGTATTTGTTTCCATGGCAACACCTCTAAAAGTCGTTTCAATCAATACAGCTATGTATGAATTCAGTTGCTTTCAGTTATGTATCAATTGAAGATCCCAATAATTTCACATATCTGAACGTTAAATTCAACAGCTCCTAAAATCAGCCGCTGATATCGTTTCTACGTTTCTACGTCTTTAAGATTGAGATCTGAAATTAGTTCAGTTCCAAATATCCAGAATATTTATTTCAGATTCTGGAAGTAAAAGTCTAACCCAGATAAACGGGAAAAGGAAGAAGTCGATATTAAATGTCTGAAATGTTCGTTCTCAGCTGATGGACGCTGGGTTGTCCCGCCGTCGGGGGCGGGGTCGTACCTTAGTGGGGTCGATGATGCCCTTCTCCACCATGTTGACGTACTCCCCCTGCATGGCGTCATAGCCCATCTCCGGCGCCCCCTGCAGGATCTTCTCCACCACCAGGGAGCCCTCCACGCCGGCGTTCTTGGCGATGGTCATGGCGGGGATACGCAGCGACCGCCTGATGATGTCCACACCTGAGGGAGAAGGTCGGACGTCGTGACCCGAGCTCGTAGGCTGCACCCGCTGTAGTGGGCGGAGCTAGGACTCACCGATCTTCTGGTCGCTGTTGGCGGTCTTCAGGGCGTCCAGGGCGGGGATGCAGCGCAGCAGAGCGCATCCTCCGCCGGGAACGATGCCCTCCTCCACAGCGGCCCGGGTGGCGTTCAGAGCATCCGTCACTCGGTCCTTCTTCTCGTTCACCTCAACGTCGCTGGTTCCTCCCACCTGGAAACCAGCAGAACCGTCAGCCCTTCCTTCGTTTTAACGAATCGTTAGCGAGGAAGCGGCGCTCCCCCCACCTTGAGGACGGCCACGCCGTCAGACAGCTTCGCCAGCCTCTCGTTGAGCTTCTCCTTCTCGTAGTCGCTGGTGGTGTTCTCCAGCTGCTCTACGATCTCAGCCGCCCGCTTCTCGACGTCGGCGGGGCTGCCGCCACCCTTCAGCAGCAGGGTGTCGTCTTTAGTGATCTGGACTTCGCCCACTCTGCCGAAGTCGTGAGCTTGGATGTCCTCCAGAGCCAGACCGAGAGCCTCATCGCCAAACACCTAAAGACACGGAGCAGAAACCCGGATCAGACTGGAGGTCCGGTTCAGAAACGCGAGCAGAGACTCTGAACCAAACGCACCGTGCCGCCGGTGGCGACGGCCATGTCCTTCAGCTGGTTCTTCCTGTTGTCCCCGAAACCTGGAGCTTTGACGGCGACCACCTGGAGTCCAACCTTCAGCCTGGAAGGTCGATCGTCATTAACCAGGATGCAGAACGTTTGCCTCCAGCGGCGAAGCAACGACGGAGACGTACCTGTTCAGAACCAGAGTGCTCAGCGCTTCTCCGTCCACATCCTCGGCTACGATCACCAGAGGTTTGCGATGCTGGTTGGCGATCTCCAGGGCGGGCACGATGCTCTGGACGCTAGAGATCTTTTTCTCGCTCAGCAGCAGGTAGGCGTCCTGGAACTCGCACTTCTGGCCTGAAAGGAGGACAGCGATTGGTCGAAACGGGGCCGAACTCTGACCCCGGGTCAGTGCGTCTGAGGAGACGTTACCTTTAGCCGTGTTGATGAAGTACGGAGAGATGTAACCACGGTCGAACTTCATGCCCTCGATGATCTCCAGCTCGTCCTGCAGCGTCTTCCCGTCCTATTACAAACACGATGAACTTAGACGGGTCATCCACGGCGTCCTCAGACTCATTCTGAGGTCAAACAGGAACCTACCTTCACGGTGATGACGCCTTTGCGGCCGACTCTCTTCATGGCGTTGGAAATGATGTTCCCGATTTCCACGTCGCCGTTGGCGGAGATGGTAGCGACCTGCGAAGACAGAGCTTCGCGTAAACGCCTCCTCCTGACGGTTGTGGACGGAGCCGACCGAAGCCGCGGGATTTCCTACCTGTGCGATCTCCTCGGGGGTCGTGACGGGCTTAGAGAGGTTCTTCAGCTCGTTGATGACCGTCTCCACGGCCATCATGACACCGCGGCGGATCTCCACGGGATTGGCGCCTTTGCTGATGTTGTCGAAGCCCTCCTTGGCGATGGCCCGCGCCAGCACCGTGGCCGTGGTGGTGCCGTCGCCGGCCTCCTCGTTGGTGTTGTTGGCCACGTCCTGCACCAGCTTGGCTCCGATGTTCTTGTATCTGTCCTTCAGGTCGATGCTTTTAGCCACCGTCACGCCGTCCTTGGTCACCTTCGGACTGCCCCAGCTCTGCTCGATGATGACGGTGCGACCCTGAAAGACACGGCGGGAACGGTGAGCCCTCTCTGAGGGACAGCCTACAGAGACCTGGACGCGCAGGGACAGACGTTACCTTTGGCCCCATGGTGACGGCCACGGCGTCGGCCAGCAGGTCCACCCCCTGCAGCATGAGGGCGCGAGCGTCCGCCCCAAACTTTACGTCCTTGGCGTACGCCCGGGTGAGGTGAGGAGCCAGCGCCCGGCACACGGGCCTCACCTGCTTCATGACGGTAGGTAAACGAAACATTTCTGGAAAAAAAAGACATTGACAGAGTCAGCCATTGTGTCCAATGTTAGAAAGTAGAGGAAATGGAAAGTAATTCACTGTGAAATGTCAATGTAGTAATTCTTTTTAAAATGAGAAATACAAGACAGCGTCCTCCATTTAATAAAGTCATATGCATAAATATATATTGGATATTATTTTTCTGTCATTTTTAACCCTTTCTATGCCCTAACTTTAAAATTAACTCTAAATCTAACCTTACCCTTGAACCTAACCATTGGCACAACGTCCCCACTTTGCAACAACTGACCTCTAGTGGCTACAGGTGGTATGACAGGGTGCTGGTGAATACATAATCAGGTTACAAAAGCTAAACCCTGAATCACAGTGGAAGCTAACATCCACCATGAAGCTTTCAGCTAAATTCTGGTCCTTTCAGGAACAGACTCTGCTTCTTCTGGACCGACTGAAACGATGAATGAATAACCGCCATCTCCAGAGCTCAGATGTTCATCTGCAAGTTAATGATTGAACAGCTGAAGGTCCACCCTGACAATCAACCAACTGAATTTAGTCCTTTCTGAAGATTAAACAAGAAAAATCATTTTATAAAAATAAAGATAAAAACACAAGAAAAATAGCTTATTGCAGCAGCAGCAGATCTATTATCAAACTTAAATCATTGAATTGTTTTAGCACCTCTAGTCACCTCACATAAAAAAAACAAAAAAACAATAGCTGCAGTTTATCAAAGAGTCACTGATCCTTCTGAATCAACTCAAAAATTACAATTAATATTTTAATTTCAATTAACCAAAACATTATGCATCCCTCCCTGGGAGGGAAGCGTTTTTGGAACTTAACTTCTATGTAATTTTTTTTCTTATAATTAATCCTAACCCACAAACAAAGAACAGAAAATCAGTTTTACTGCACAGCAGCAGTAGAAATATTTTGGGGTTTTCTCCCATTACCAACCGTGCAGTTCTGATCAGCATAGCTCTATATTTAATCTAGGGGATTAAATTATCAATAATTGAAACAATTGAACATTAAACCTTAAATTAGTAACTCTACCAGGGAATTATAGAAACAGTTTAATATGGTTCTTCACTTTCTTTATGAGAAAACTGAACCGAATTAAGTTTTATTCTCCAACTTAAGTTACGTACGTTAAAAAACTGCAGCTTCACGCATAAAAAAAAAAACAGTTTGGTTAAAATTTTTATTTTTTTTTTCTACAGAAAAAGCCAAGAAAGGCTCCCACGTGGGGGCCCCGAGGTCATACGTCACAAGGTCAAAATGTAAGAGTAGTAGGAGCACGTGCGGCTGCCTGCACGCTGAAGCTGTTATGGACGGAAAGCGGAGTTAAATTGGATGAAGCCGACATGACATCAAAGTGACATCAAAGCAAACCGATCGGTTCATGTCGTCAGGCACGAGACGATAATCGGAGAGACACCGATGGAGGCTCGCGGGTAGCTGGTTAAAGTCGGTGGAATCCGTAGTGCCATTTTTCCGTCCTTGTTGAGCAGGAGGAATTTGAACCGTTTGGATTAAAACAGCTTCAGCCGCGCGAGCCGCGGGGAATTCTGCCCTGAAATCACGCGCACCGTAACCCTGAGTCGCGTGGGCCAACGCTGGTGGAGTTTGAGTGCTTACCTGCTGCGAGGTAAAAGCTGCGAGCTCACGCCACACGGAGCGGTTAGACTGGAGGAGAGGACGGAGGAGAAGAGCTGAAGACAGGCTGCATGTGGGCTTCTACATCCGGGTTATGTACCGGCCCGCCCCCAACCATGAATACATCAAATATATCTCACCAAACCGCCCTACTACGATTTATACAATAAATCTGCATTTATTCTATCGGATTAAAATATTATAACTTAAAACGATCGGGTTTAAAAACGTTATTTTTTTGTTTTATGGGAGATTAATCCAAAACCAACACCAATATGCTCGTTCCCGGGCGGGGGCTTCCAGAATTTTCTCGCATGCCATTGGAGGAGCGAACGAAGGTCAAAGGTGACATTGTGCAATATTGCGCAAGATTAAAACGTAAAACTTTAAAATAACTCAAGTTATAATATTTTATCAATCAATAATTTCCGTTTTAACCTCAGTGTAAGAGAAGTTTTTGATTAAAACAGATTTTTTTCATTGATTCTCGGGTGTACTAGAATGTTCGGTGAGACACGTCATGAGGAGGGCAGGTAGTGCGCATGCGCGTTCTGGAGGTTTCCTCACGTGGAGAACTGCAGGGAGGCTCAGATCCAGGCTCTCTGGCTGCGGTGCTGCTTCAGACAGGCTCTCAGACTGCGCTCCCATCCAATAATGGTAAGAAACACCGTCTAACTCCTGGAGACGTTCACAGGCTAATGCTCGGAGCTCAAATAGACCAACAGGGACCCGGCTATACTCTGGAATGTCATTTTTCCCCTCTTTATCGAGGTGTCGGCTAGCGTTGTGTAAGCTAACATTCATTCACAAGGTCACGCTGCTGAGGAGAGCGCGTGGGGGGGGCTTGACCACATGTTTACCGTAATATGTGCTGGAAATGGGTAAGAAGCACATATATGCAAAAAAATATATTACATTTTAAACGGTTAGCTGATGCCATTAGTGCTATAATGGCCTTAAGCTGTGGCAATGATGCACGCGCTTCTATTTAATACCAACTGTATTCCTGCTGCTACATTTGCATATTCCGTGGTAGGCCAGGGTGGGAATCGAACCCGCGACGTCCTGTTTGCTGGGATTCACACCGTCAGACCTTTCCTCTCCGGTGTTAGGTTCAGGGGTGTCCTAGAGAGAGAGAGAGAGAGACCAAATCATTGCAGTGGAGAAATTCCTACATCCATGTTAACATTTTAATTCAGTTTATTTCTATAGCGCCAATTCACATCATGTCATCTCAGGTCACTTTCCAGTTCACCAGAACATCCAGTCAGATTGATTCAAAGTTTTCTATCTAAGGAAAACCAGCTGATTGCATCGACTCATTGACTCTTCAGCAATCCCTCACACTAAGCATGCTTGTAGCGACAGTGGAGAGGAAAAACTCCCTTTGAACAGGTAGAAACCTCCAGCAGAACCAGGTTCAGTGTGAGCGGCCATCTGCTGAGGCCCACTGGGGTTCAAGGAGACAGAAGCGGACATAGAAAAAGAAGCATAGATACAAAAGGCAACTGTCAACCAGCTCCACAGGCGGCCCCGTCCAGGAAACACACAGCCAGGCAGACGAGCTCCGAGCCAGCTCCCATGTCAGAGGATGAAGAGAGCACATCCAGTTAGTCACAGTCAGAGAAACAGGACTACACTGGAAAACAGGCCGATCTATTAAAAATGAATTAAGATTAAAAAAGCTAGTTTTGACTGTATTAGTGCAAGAACATAGAAATACAACATTAAATGTGGTCTTTAGACTGAGAAAACTCCTTTAATCGAACACTTTCTCTGACATCTCAGGGAAATAATGGGACTTTATTATAGTATTTAACTTTTGCTCCTTATAAAAATAAACAGCAACCAATCACCGTGTATTACGGTAAACTTCTAAAATTGAAATTAGTAGTTAAACTAACTGCTGGTCATGAGTTACTTAACCAACTTTTAATTTCCCTTTGAGATTTTTCTTTGAATTAAACTAAAGACCCTCAATTTTATAAAAGGTGTTTAATGTTTTAAAAGCTAAATCCAAAATGATTTAGATGGTTTGTGTTTTATTTATGATAGTATATTTATTTTCTTAGTTCCTTAGACTGGGGGGGGGTTGGTGGAAATGTGTTAATGCAGCTGATAAACAGTGAAGGCTCTCAGTAGGTGGGGGTGTTGAACCTTCTAGAAAGCGGCCCCTCTCACCCTGACAGTTGTGTCGAGCTGAAGGCGGTTTGCTCAGGCCGCCAGGAGGATCACCGTTGGTTTTTCAGGAGGTTTATCTCTGAGGTGAGCCGTCCTTGACCTCTAAGCTTCAGGGTCGAATGATCAGACTGAGCATGGCTGTCCAACCCCCCCCTCCCAGTCCTCCTCCACTCAAGGTCACCGGTACATCTGCTGTTCTCTGCAGTCAGTCTGTAATCCTTCAGGAGCTTCTCTAAAATTATACAAAATACCAAATAATCTGAAATTTCTGTTCCTACTAACTAATAACGACACTAAATTACAGTTGATGTAGGCAGAGATCTCAGATTTCATTCAACCAGAGCAAAGATTTGTTTAATTTTTTTTAATCTATTGTGTGAAGAAATGTGTGCAGAGAAAATTAAGTTAATCATGACCTTAAAATGTTAAAATAACAGTTTTTCAGTACATTTTGTGGTAAACAAATCAAGCTGTTAGTATATAGGAAGTCTTGGGGATGCAAGTTATTAATTAACAAATCTGAAGTTGGTTGATGGTCACTTTCTGAAAAAGTAACCGATAAACTTAATTGCATCAAGAGGATCTTTCCTTAATAAGAAGGGCTAAATTAATTTAACAATATTCTAAATAAATGTAAAAAAGTAAATCAGGTAATGTTGTTTATTAGCTTGGAGCAGGGATGGGCATTTATCTCATTAAGAGAAATGTATCATAATTAGAATATATTATTCTGATAACTTCTAGTTTTCATTTGAGTTTTTAAACTGTTTCTAAATGCTTGTAATCTTTCCAAGTATGACGAGCTTATTTACTTTGTGTGTGCTGGTAAGTAACGTTATGATGAACGCTGCTGAAGCATGTTGAGTCCTTGGGGGGGCCGTCCTTAACCCAGAGATCATTGTCTCTTTCAGGCCTTCAGGAAGTTCCTCCCTCTGTTCGACCGGGTGCTGGTGGAGCGCCTCACGGCAGAGACGGTAACCAAGGGAGGCATCATGCTGCCAGAGAAGTCTCAGGGCAAAGTGCTGCAGGCCACGGTGGTGGCAGTCGGCCCAGGCTCAGTTAACCAGGTGATCCATTGGTTTTGATACGCGCTCCAGGTGGCCTCCGTGGTCCCAGACACTAAAACCCCCAGGAAATAATTTAAAGGGTTAATTATTTATCTTTGTTTTATTGTTACCGTTATCCGGACTGAAGGCAAACGGTCGTATGGCTATAAGCTAGGTAGGTTCATCTCTATATCCTCATCTCAAGGAACCCTCCTGAGCTAACGGCCGTTTGACCATCATGTTAGTTTCATACCGAGGCCTTTAGCTGGGGCTGAAAAGGTCAACGGGGGACATGGGCCGTTTCTCAATTCACAAGGACATGAGTACAGACTCGTATCCTCGCCAAGTATGTTCATGAGCAGAACAGAGGAAAGTTTTAGTGGGGGAATAATGTTTAACACAGTCAGATAAACACAAATCTACGGAAGAGGATTAGGGCCACTGAAAAAAAAAAAAGTTAACTGATTTTTTAAATTTTATTTTAGTATATAGTATGGGAAAAATGTCAGAATTCTGACTTTTTTCAGAATTCTGAGAAAAAAGTCAGAATTCTGTGATTAAAGTCAGAATTCTGAGAAAAAAGTCAGAATTCTGAGAAAAAAGTCAGAATTCTGTGATTAAAGTCAGAATTCTGAGAAAAAAGTCAGAATTCTGACTTTTTTCCCATGTTAAACTGAAATAAAATTTAAAAATCAGTTTACTTTTTTTTTTTTTCAGTGGCCCTAATCT